TCAGATCTCCTCCAGCCCCTCCAAGTCCTGGGCCAAGTGCACGTGCAGCTCCCTGATAGTGGCACCAGCTTTCCCGCAGCTCACTGCATTATCAGGGTCAGAGGTGGTGAGAGTCAGAAGCACGTTCTAGTTTGTTCCTGCTCTCCCCCACTTCATATCCAGCTTTCCGTCTGATACGCAGGCCCTGCTGACCTATAGAAAGTTCAGGCCCACCACCAGACACAGAGGCAGCAGCCTTGCCTAGACTTTTCTACTGGTTTTCACACTGGGTAATTCTAATCCCTATAATAAATCCCATATTCCACATCACATAGAGTGGCTCTGCTTTCCTGATCAACTGCTAACTGATACAACAAGCTACTCCCATGGCCTTGGCAAATGCAGAAAAGACCCTTCTCTCTTTGCTTTCCTGGTGGTCCCTCTGAAGAGAACACTCATCCTTCCTCCAGCCTTCTGCTTTCTTGATTGAAGCTCTACCAGCATCACCGCCATGATGGTCACCACCACCACTATCATGGTCACCACTACCAAACTACCATGGTTACCACCAAACTACCATCATCACCACCAAACTACCATCATCACCACCAAACTACCATCATCAACACCAACACCTTCTTCACTACAGCCCTCACCTGCCACTACAATCACAACTACCACCACATCGTTACCATCACCACCAACACTACCATTACCACTATCATCATTACCATCATCACCATCACCCACCACCATCATTATCACCATGTGACCACTACCACACCATCTCCCCTACTTTATCTCCTTTAATCTTCATAATAATACTATCATCCAGGTAAGATTATCCTATAACAGAAGAAGAGAGATTCGGTAACCTGTCAGCAGCCAAGGAGAGAGTAAACCCTGGTCCAGCCTCAAATTCCCTGTTCTTTCAGTACACGGCACAGCCTGTGAAACTGTGTTCAACAGAGCAAAGAGGGAAGTCTGTGGTCAGTGGGCAAAAAAGGACAGCAAACAGCAAAACTGTACTGCTCAAGAGAGGAAGGGCAAAGAGATAGCAGCTAGAAGGCATTAGGCAGGCAAAGAAGGGATGGATTCAGACAAGATCCCTCAGTGCAGAGATGGGGGGACCACGTGGGTGGCAGTTCTGACCCAAAGCCTGCCTGAGGTCCAGAGAGGAAGTGGCCTTGCTCCTGCAGACGTCAAGGGCAGAGCCCCAGGGGAAAGCTCACCCACTGCCTGGAGGGAAGAAATCAGAGCCCAGAGAGCCAGTGGTGCACAGGGGCAAGGGCAGAAATGACCAGGGGAAGCCCCCACGGTGCCCACTGAAGGCCTGGGCCAGAGTGTTCTCAGCCCTTGCCGCACAGTAGAGGCATCTGGAGAGTTCTAATACTTACTAATGCCCAAGCCCCACTCTAAAAACCTCTGTTTTTTTTTTAATGCTTCTCAGTTTATGCTAATGTGCAGGAAGGATTGAGAAACAATGCATTAAAGCAACAAAACTCTGGGATCATGATTTCCTTCCATGTGAGCATCCGGAATTCCCTCATGCTCTAGCACGATTTAGTCAGGCTCTTGAGCTAAGTGACCCTGAGTGCTAGATGGTGGCAAAGTGGATGAGAGAAAAGGATCTTTCCTAGGATGGAGAAAAGACAAGTCTAATTTTAGACCAAAGAAACCACCTGGTTTTTATTTGTGGGTGATGAAAGTAGAGTATTAATCTACGAGTTGAAACAATAAGAAAAAGAAGGTAAGCCAGAAGAGATGCTCACGGTATGGATAAGTGGCTGCCCCTGTCCCCAGCCTGGAGGTGAATTTGCCTTATTTTTTGCTACATCCAAATACTTACTGGAAGAAGCGAAATTATAAAACAAGAGCATCGTTAACATTTGCTGTCCACTAATTGTGTGCCAGCCACTGTGCTAAGTTCTTTACAAGTATTAACTCTCAATTCTCAAGGTTACCTTACATGGTGGGTGCTAACATTTCCTTCATTATACACAGGAAGAAACTGAAGCACAGAGAGGCTAAAGGACTTGCCCAAGTTCACACAAGTGTCAGAGCTGGGATGTGCACCCCAGGAATATGCCTCCAGCATTCACACTCCTAACTCCACCCCGTACAGTCTCCCAATCTCTATGGAGCAGGTACTTTTGTCCCCATTTTACAGATGGGAAGACTGAGGTTAAGGAGCTTTCTCAAGCTGAGACACCTCACTGTCACAACCTGGATTTGGAACCTCCACCAGTGGAATATACTAGAGGAGCTTAGGAGCAGTTTGGCCCCGAGGCACAGAGAAGGTTCTAAATGCCCAGCTCTTCCCCAGCGCCACCCCACCCTTTACACTCAGAGGCTACACAGAAATCACATGGCATGACCTTTGAAAAAAACTGCATTTTTCAAAATCTACTCAAGACCCAAACCGGCATTGGCATGTGTGCCGAGTCTGAAAATGACACGTAAATAGAAGGAAAGGGCGAATCCAGCCACGCTCTAGGTTGGGTAAAACATCTCAAATTATTTGTTTCAAATATTTTGCAATTGGCAAGACCCAAACCACATTTTTCCAAGCATTCCCTTCCCCGCCCCACCCCCACACTGTCCCGTTTTACATCGTAAGCCCATATGCATTTCCCTAAAAATGTAATCCATATGTCTCTGATCCGTTTACACTTAACTCATCAAATTGTTGTCTGCTAAGAGTTGTTTGCTGCCCATGAAGCCTTCTGAGACTGTCTGTGAGGCCTTCAAGAGGCTCTTTCAGCCTGTTTTCTTAGAAACAGGAAGCTACGTTTAGCCGAGGGCAAATGAATTGAAAATGTTGGCAATGGGAGGGAAGAAGCTCCAGGGCCAAAAAGTTTGCTCTTGTTCTCAACGTGGCAGGACAGCAAGGACGGTCCCCCTAAAGTGGTATTCCAAGGCCCCGGAAACGTGCTCTCGTGGAACCCCAAACCAAGGATTGGGTCCAATTTTGCTTTCAGCCCTGTTCACCGTCCCTCTGTCTGCCACGATCCCTAAGGTGGTTCGGGAGTGTAACGGAGAGCGAGCAGCCATCCCTGACCCGCTGGGGACCTGACGGTATCGACCGCTTTGGTGGAACTGAGCCCCACACACCGGCTTTCCACCTCAGCAGCTAAGGACCTTGCAAGCTCTGCTTTTCTATCTGCCTTTAAAAAAAACGCATGCATGCATACAGACAACAACCCAAATACTTCTCAAAACAAACCATTACATCTGATATGGTTTAACTCATCCATGTTTTTTGGCTTTAGGAAAGGGTTCTAGTTTTGTTTTATTTTTTTTAATTGCTTAAGTTCAGCTAACTTATGTCTCTTGGGGAAACTGATCTGTGTAAATGTGATTTAACTAAAGGGGTTTGAGCCACTCACATGTGTTTTACATTTTCTAATCATCCTGAGCTCTGTACATGGTGAGCAGACTGAAAAATGATGGTGGTCTCATTTCAACATCAATTTTTATCCATCCTATCTCCCAAGAATGCCAAATGACGGCTGGACAGAATCTCACTTCCTATTTCCAGACAATCAGAAGCTGGTATTTATGAAAACCCTGTAAGTGTGTGAAGTTGATTGCATGGCTAGAAGACCCAAAGGAAGACGGCAATTCTTTAAGATGTCTACATTCATTAAATTGGCAAAAATTTCAGTAAAGATCCACTTTAAATATTCTATTTCCCTGATTAAATTAAATTGAACAAACATTTAAGAAATGCCTGCTGTATTAGCTTTCTATTGCTGCATAACAAATTAACACAACCTTAGTGGCTTAAAACAATATGCATTTATTATCTCGTAGTTTCTACCGATCAGGAGTCCAGGCATAGCTGAACTAGGTCCTCTGCTCAGGGTCTCATAAGAGACAGTTAAAGTGTCAGTTAGTTACATTCCTATCTAGAGGCTTGACCAGGGAAAAACCCACTTCCAAGCTCATTTAGGTTGTTGGCAGAATTCATTTCTTTGTAGCTGTATGGCTGAGCTCCATGTTTTCTAGCTAGCTGTTGGCTTGGAACTGCTCTCAACTCCTGGAGGCCACCCTCAGGTCCTTGCCACATAGGCCCCTCCATGGGCCCTCCTAAAACATGGCTGCTGGCCGGGCATGGTGGCGCATGCCTATAATCCCAGTGCTTTGGGAGGCTGAGGTGGGAGGATAGCTTGAGGACAGGAGTCCGAGGCTACTGTGAGCTATGATCAGCGCCACTGATCTCCAGCCTGGGTGACAAAGCAAGATCCTGTCTCAAAAAAAAAAAAAGCTGCTTTACTTCTTCAAAGCAAGCAGGGAATCTCTTCCTTCAGGAAGGGCCCAGTCCTCTTTAAAGGTCTTTCACTAATCTCCCTTTTTATTAATTCAAGGGTGACTGGTATGTGACTTTAATTATTAATATATCTGCAAAATCCCTTTACCCTAGCCATATAATGTAACCTAACCAGAGAGAGCGACAGCCATCATATTCACAGGTCCCATCCACATTCAGAAAGAAGGGATTGTATTGGATATTCCCAGAGGGGCTGGGAATCTCGGGACCCATCTTAGAATTCTGCATACCACACCTTCTGTGTGTGAGGGTATGGTGACACATTAGTTATGAATCCTACCTGCAAGAAACTCATAGCCAAACAAGGGCAGTGGATATGCAATAAATAACTATTCCACCAGATATGTGCTACAATAGAGGTATGTTTAATGTTTGGAAATAGCACAAAAGTGGTAACAAACACTGGGCTTTGTAACATGAATAGGAGTTCACTGAGCAGGCAAGTATGAGCAATGTGAGGGGTGGTTAAGTAGGATTGGCTTGAAATAGTGTGATATGGTTAGCAAGTAATTTGATTTTGCTGATTTCAGCAAATGTGCTGAGCATTTTTATTTGTTTTATCTTGACTTACTTGATTTCTTAAAAAAAAGAAAGGAAAGAAAAGAAAATTAGCTGTCTTAAAGCCTGGTTGATGGACCACATGTATGTGTATGTGTTCGATTGCCTGTGACTTATCCACTTACGACAATCATGAAAATAACACTGGGGGTGGGGGTGATGTATGATAAATTAAGTCTCCAGCCCTATAAGAAAAGGTGTTTCTGGTTTCCTTCAGAATGTGGGGACCTTTTACAATGAGAAGCTTCTCTTGAAATGATGTTTCATTCCCAAATAGAAGAAATGAGTCCATACCTGCAGACATAACGACAGCAAAGGTCAAGGCAATTTCTGAAGCCCTGAGCACAAAGAACAGCAACCAAAGTTGTAGATGAAACCAAGGAAATCCTAGTGCCTAAGGTGACTCATGCCGAACTGCACCCCACACTGTGGCACTTTCATAACTTGAAACAGGATTCACTTTTGCAGCTTGAAGTCTTCTGACTCTTCTACCACAATATATAAACACAGGCCAGACAGAAACGCCTGTCAAAAATACAGTAGCTTTTATGTCAACTCCAAAATACCTCGAGTCACTAAGAAGATGACAACATTATAAATGAAAATGCAACCATCTTGCAGGTGGTTTGGGTCTGAGTGTCTCACTTTCATTGCCAACAGTCTGACGTGGGATATTTTCTGGTTACTCAGACCTGCTCAAGTTAGCCTACCTCCCTGTGGCCTTCCTGACAAGCCATATGGCACAGGGGAAAAGAACTTTAGATGTGCCATTAGGAGACCCGGGTTCCAGTCTCCATTCACTGTGTTCTTTCATTTACTCAGGATTATTGGAGCTCCAGTGAGTTTTCCACTTATTGAATAAGTAATTTTCCAAACTACTGAAAATTTTTGCTAGCCACAAGATGTTTGCTCTTTTATTGTTTAAATCTGGGAAATTTTCCTAAGCTATGGAGTATATTAAGAGCATGCGACCGGGTGCGGTGGCTCATGCTTGTAATCCTAGCACTCTGGGAGGGTGACGCAGAGGGATTGTTTGAGGCCAGGAGTTTGAGACCAGCCTGAGCAAGAGCAAGACCCCATCTCTACCAAAAATAGAAAAAATTAGCAGGGCGTGGTGGTGTGCATCTGTAGTCCCAGCTACTTGGGAGGCCGAGGCAGGAGAACTGCCTGAGCCCAGAAATTTGAGGTTGCCATGAGCTATGATGACACCATTGCACTCTACTTGTGGAGACACAGAAAGATCTTGTAGCAAAAAAAAAAAAAAAAAAAAAAAAAAAAAAAAAAGGCATGGGCCCTGGACCCAAAATGCCTGGGTTTGAATCCCAGCTCCACAAGGTGCTCATTGTGTGACATTGGGCAAGGGACTGAGTTTCTCTTTGCCTCTGGGGATAATGACAGTCTCTACTTCATAAAGTAGAGGTTCAATAACTTAACTATATAAAAGCTAAAGATTAAATAACTTAACTATATCAAACACTTAGAACAGTACCTAGCACATAAAAGTCATTTCAATAAGTATTACTGTTGTTACTATAAAATAGGATAAAAAATATAAAACATAAGTGAGGCATTTCTTCTTAGTTTATCATTATAAACACTAAACAAAATATTGCATATGTATATACATATTTTTATACATGTATGTATACATATATAAATATATGTATGTATATAAATATCATCTGTACATATGTGTATATATGCATTCTTTATACAACTACATACCCACACCCACTAAATATATTTAAATATACACATATACATATATACGTACTATATATATATAAAAATATATAAAATCACTCCTTCATGATCCAATAGAATATGTTAGGGAGACTTTAGCATAAATGACCTCAGAAGGTGGTTTTTAATGTCTAGTGTGTGCCTTTTTAAACATCCTTGTCTCCTCTCTTACTGATCGAACTGCTAGCAGTCATGTCTGGCTGTGTCTGCCTTTCGCCTCTGAGTTGTGCTGTTCTTTGGTGACTGACAAATCAGATTATATGTCAGAACTGTGGCTAAAATAAGAGTGCAGAAATCTGAATGAGAGTCTTAGAGGCTCCTCCATGAATAAAATGCGTGGGCTTTAACATTTAGGCATTGGGTCACCTATTTTGGCGGATTCTGGAACAGTGTTTAGCTTACTTTCTGAATCTAGAACATGTTCTAAATCTGTGGTTTTCAGCTGCACTCACAGGGCCTTCAGGCTGTGTGAGCATATCTCAGGGGCTACCATGGTGGGGGAGAGGTGGGTAGGAAGGGGTTCATCTAGTAAGGCTGCAAGCCCTCCACTTCGACTTCCAACCAGAGAAGCTCTGGGATATTTTACATAATGGGTTCTGCATACGATGCCATTTGAAGAGGGTTTCACTGCTAAATCAATAAGTAAAGTTGGCAACAACTGTTGTACAGAGTCATGTTTGCCAGATAAATGACATCTGGACATACACTCTTTTATGTATGTTTGAAATATTTCAAATAAAAAATGAGAGCATCACAAACTAAACCATCTCTAGAAATTAAACATAACAAGAATCCATACAAAATAAATGAGACCAGGCATCTATAGAAAACATTTCCAAATAAGTCACCATAACTATCACTTGTAAATTTTTAATGACATTAGGCTAAACCCATATCCCACCACAGAGCCACCAAGTCAAAAGTAAATACGTGTAAAATAAGTTATAATTTTGAGAAGTCTAAAATTTTAATGATAGGTGTAAATAGGACTGAGTCACATGGTTGGGAAAAAAAATAGTAAAGAATGATTCCTCAGTGTTTTTCTAGAACTTGTGAAAAGAAAATCCAATAGCTGATACCAGGTTTCTAGTCAGAAACATCCCCGAGTGAAGATGGACACATTAGCATGATGTAAATGACCTTTCGGCAAAGTTAAGCTCCCTTTTGTTCTACCTAATGCTGTCCTTACTGACCGTACCAGTCAGGATTGTTTGGGCTGCAAGAAACAGAAAACCTCGAAAGAGCAGTGGTTTAAACTAGATCAAAGTCTGTATCTCTCTCACAGTCATGAAGTGTGGAGGCAGTTAACCCAGGTCTGGCGTGGCACTCTGTGGTGTCAGGGACCCACGCCTGTTCTACTTTATTGCTCTGCCATGAGTGGCTTCCATTCTCAATGTCCCTTCTAGTCCAGAATGGCTGTTAGAGCTCCAAACATTATGACTACATTCCGGACAACAGGAAACAGGAAAAAGAAAAAGAAGAAATCCCTCTTCCTTCAAGTAGACTTCTAAAGAGTTTCACACACCCCTTCTGCTTACCTCATATTGACTACAACTTAGTCACACGGCCACACATGACATTACAGAAGGCTGACAATTGTAGTCTTTATTCCAGACAGTTCTGTACCCAGCTAAAAATTAGTCATTCTGTTACATGAAAGAAGGGAAATCTGACATTGGATGACAACAAGAATCTCTACCAGGCCAACTCACCTCCTGATTTCTATTTGACTTCGTGAGTGAGGAATGGAGTGATATCCCATGGTCCACTCTTCCCCAATTATGTTTTTAAAAATCAATTTTCAGGTCAACGTAAGGCCACAGACACTTGTTAAGTACCTATCATAAGTCATGCAATGGAATACCATTCAGCAACAAAAATGAAGAAACTATTAACCTACGGAACAACATCAATGAATCTCAAGATAATTCTGCTGAGTGAAAATAGCCAGACTGAAAAGTGGAGTTCATGTTGTATGATGTCGTTTATGTAAAATTCTAGAAAATGCAAACTAATCTATAGTGACAGAAGGGAGAACAGTCGTTATCTGGGAACAATGTGTGAAAGTGGGGAAGGTTTTCAAAGGGACACAGGAAACTTTGGGGCTGATGGACACGTTCATCATCTGGGTTGTGGTGACGATTCCATGGGTGCATACATGTATCAAACCTCATCAAGTAGGGACTTTAAATACATGCTGTTGATTGTGCATCATTTATACCTCAACAAAGCTGTAAAATACCTTTTACAAAAGAATCTATTACATGTCTGGCACTATGCTAGGCACTGAGGATACAAAATAAGCCATAGGTCCTGTTGTCCAAGGGCTCACAATCCAGCAGTCATTCTGGTGAGTAAATTAGGCTTGTGAGTGTAGATATGGTGAATGGATCCTGAGACCTCCTGAATGAATGGACTAAATCAAGGCACTCAGCCCACAAACTGAACACCAGACCTTGTCCCAGGAGTCCAACCAACCCCCAAGCCCAGCGTGAAACAGGCCTAACCATTTTACAATGAGGAGCAATATACATCTATACGCTACTCTTTAGGTCTATTTCTACATAAGGTTCTGGATACACATGGTGAGTAATATATTCATATATTAAACATCCCATGGTAAATTGTGTATTTTCCACTTGTGGAAATGAAATCTAATGACATCCTCTCTTCACTTTCCACATCTGTGTTGCAGAGCCAGGAAGGATCCCATGACAAAGACAAGTAGTTGGCACAAAGGAATCTTCTGAAAGAATCGTCTAGTGAGACATGGCTATTTGGCATCTGCTGTTTCCAAGGACCAACACCACTCATGCCTTGACATCTCTTAGTACCACTCTCGTGGCCTGTGCAACAGCGCAGGAGTGCAGTGCTAGGCTCTGGGAGTCTTAGATGTCCACCCGGGGCCAAATACTACATAGCAAATTCTTCACTCTATTTTCTCCTCAATATTGCCCCCGAGGTCCCAGGGCTTATGAAGGTTAATAGCATTTGTCCTCAGGACTGAAAGCTATTGCTCCTACCTTTTCCACTTTGAGGAAAAATATATCATTACTTGTTGTGCAGATAGCTTCATCACAAAAAAGTAGCAAGATTTGATCAATTCAAAATCCATGTGGAGGAAGAGAATTTTTGGATCTCCCTTGAGGCCTTTCCTTGTGGGCTATGTGGCCTAAACACCATTGAATAGGGAGTATTATACAGGGTCGCGTTAAAAGTTCCCTGTAGCCCAAAATATCTCCACCTTAGCCTGATACAAGGCCTGACACCACTGCATTATTGATCCCTTTAGATTAAGATGCTGAGGCTGAACTGTCTTCTGGGAAAAGAGAGCAAAAATCCAAACAGCCCATATTGCCCAGGTGGCCTTGAAAGATGGGTGTATAACCCTTCATGGAAGAGAACGGGCAGGGACCGTGGGGGTGGCCTGCATGATCCCTGTGCACCTGGAGGGTCGTGGCAAAGGACAATGTGAGAAGCAGGAGGTAGTGACAATAAACTTTGATGATGTCAAATTTTCTTAAGAGCCACCAGCACTTCTTCCTGTGAAAAACCAGTCTGGAATGAAATGATGAATTATCCCACACAAAACTACCAAATTGTAATACTTTTCAAGCACTCCTCTCACTTGTATTCAATCCCCT